GCTGTTTATGGTATTTGAAACTAGACATTTGTAAATTTCTAACGGTATAAAAATCATTTGCTAGTTCATTTTGAATCAACCGTAGTGATTCGGCAAAGTTGACTGCCCTGTTGTGGTTGTCTGTCCGAGAGAAATGGAGAAGCTGCATCTTGTGGTTCTGTTTTCTCTCACTTATGAACTGATTTTGAAAATATTTCCTTCTGATGAAATGTAGCCTTTTGAATCTAGTTTTTAACACTGCCAACCATTCTCAATTTGAACTTGTATTGAGTGATATGGTTTAATTTCCAAACTGTGTCAAAGTTGGAAAACTGGAAAACCTTTCCTTCTTGCTGGCCGACTGGTCAGGTTGATTGTGGGATGCTTTGCTTCAAAAATTTTGATGTCACTTAACTACCAATTACTTGTTGAATGTTTATAGGACCTTGGTTTCAAAAATGGGTTGAATTGGGACTGATTTCAATGTGAAAAATGTTTGAAAAGGAAAGAAAGGCAAGAAGGCAGATTAGTCTTGAAACATTTTACGAACTTTGGTAGTCTTGTTAACTACCTTCCTGTACGAGTTTTTGCATGAAATTTGATATAGGGGTAGACCATATATGGAAGGTTAAGTGTACTGAATTTGGTGTTATTCTAAGACCATTTCGATATCCAAATGATGTCCCAAAGTTGGCTTTTCAAATCTGGAAATTTACTGTTCACATAGTAAAAAAAATTAACCAACTTTAGGCTGTTATATTTTGATGCTCGAAACTCTGAATTCAATTCTATTTATTGTGTTTGAAACCTTGTTTGGAACTCATATTGTGTTACGAATTTTAAAGGTTAGTTCACTTTTTATGAATTTTGTCGAATTTCTAAAGTTTGCCGAAAAACAAGATTGAAACTATCTTGCTGGTTCAGATCATCCACTTTGAGCTGAAAATTGAATGTCTTCCGTTTAGAATCCTGGAAAAGTGTCTTCTAGGAAATTTTAGTACTTTGGATCTAGTTTCCAACGGTATAAGTTTTCTATTTTTGGAGTACCAAACTCTAGATTCGATTTTCCAAAGATTATCGTGCAAAACTGAAATTTCCCAATTTCGTATGAAATGAGTATTTGAGAACTCATTACTCTTTCTTAATATTGATTGATCGTTTTCGACTCGATTTCATGGAGGAAATCAGTTTCTCTTGTATTATTAAACCCTCACTTTTGAATCTCGATTTTCGAGATATTGAGGCTTTTCGAGACACTGTCTTACCTTAAAACGAACGTACATTCTTCCTTGTTTGGCAAGGAGTTTGTAAGTATTTATGGGTGATGGTTAATTGTTATGTCTTCAGGTGCTCAAGAGGATCTTGAAGAGAATTCCAGAGCCGACCACTAAAAATCTTTTGCATTTACTCCCTTATTTTGATTTGGTGAGTGTCAAGTGCATGATTTATTGCAATTATATGAATTGCTTCTTATGGATTGAATGATTGATAATTGTTGAGTCGAGTGTGTACTTTATCGCACTCGTTCTCTTTTAATTGATTATGTAATTGAATTTATCATAATTGAATTGAATGAAGTGAATTGCTAATTGAATTGATTGAATTGTTACAATTGAAAATTATCCTTGGATTGGATAAATATCAATTGGAGTGAATCTCATCGACTTATAATTGTAATTGGGGGATGCCCAAATTCATCGGCCGACCTTGCGACTCGAGTTGGCATGGGCTTGGTCGGGAAGCCTGGGGAGCCATGAGAATATCATGAGCTTGATCTATTGGACAGATTTCGCTCGGCATACTCGAGTAGTATCGCCTTTTATAGCCGAAGCGCAGGCCCGGGACAGGGGGTGTAACGATAAACTGGAAAGAGTAAGTGAAGTTCTACGGACTTAATACTGACCCGGTTGACGGAGTGTCATCGCGGGGAAATAATTGATCGAGCCATGGTGAAGCAAGTGGAACCTAACTCCTGAGAGCTCCTCTATCCTCATTGAATGTGTTTATTGAAAATTGTGAATTGTTTGAATGTTACAGCTTTATTTCTCGCTTAATTGCTATTGCTATTTGAACTAAGTGTTTGCATTTTTTTTGGTCTCACTGAGCATTAGCTCATCCCATTAGATTTGTTTTCTTTAACAGGAGCCGAAATGGGAAAAAGTTATGGAGAAGCCGACTTGAGGTACTTTTGATTAGGGTCTTGAATGTATTTGACTAGACATATTTTGGAAGTTGTATATTTTGGGAAAGTGAATGTATTTTGAAACTCGTGATGTAAGATTGAATACTTATGTATGGAAGCGACTACTTTTCTTCATCTCGACTTTTATTATTCGGTGTTATCCTTAAGTTTGAATTGAATTGTATCGAGTCCTGGCGAGAGTTGGGCAGGCGTTCTACGAATACTCTTGGGTTCGCCCTTCAGAGAAGTAGGGGTGTTACAGCTTGACTCTCAATTCTAAATAAGATTGCGTATCCCTAGCGTTGTGGATTGGATTTCTTAATAGATGCCTTGGGTTTTTACCATTGTAAACTGTATATTAACATAAGAAAAGCAAAAAAACAATGCACAGGGTTACAGGGGTACATATTATCATCATTTAAGAAGCACATAAAAAGTTAGAAAACACATAAAAAAACAAATGGGCCTAAGACGGCAAACCTTTGGATTTAGCAAATAGTCAGCCCGATAGTCCAATTTAAAAAAAAAAATTTCTAGCCTACCGTGCTTAGTAAGCACGGCAAGCATAGTTGTAGAAGATCCCCTGTCAGATCAACATTTGTGTGATGTTTTCTTTTTTCATCAATAAACAGAGGAATTAACCTATAAACTGTTGGTGCGCTTTCATTGCCTTTGTCAATGCATTTTTTATTAATTGGATAAGTGTTAGAATTAGTGCCATTGGTTGATAGCCATGTAACATTAGTGAAAATATATTTAAATTCATTTTGATTAATTGAATAGGTGTTAGTCAAACCTTTGATCAACAATGATAACTTGTCTAGCACGTGGATCTGCTGTTGTAGGTTGTGGTTGAATGGGAATAGTAAATTCGACGATATCTAAACATATGAATTTTTTGTTAATATTATTTAAGAGGCATACTTGTTGGTTTTTGAAAAAAATTTGAATCGTACCTATTATAGAATTTCTATCAATGTGAGATATGTAGCCATATGGAATGAGTGGCCTGTCAATTTCTTGAAATTGTTGGATAGAAGTTGTGTTGTTAATAATCCATGAATATTTAGTTTTATTGGTAGAATTTGTGGCCAAAATAGGTTGAACTTTTGCATTGAAAATGTAGTACCTTTTATGGGGTTCGAGCAATTTATTAAAAAATTCTATATCTGTACCATAAATTAGCGCTTCAACCTTTTGTCTCTATACAACGAAAATGTATTAGAAGAAAATGTTAGATAGAAAATTTCATTTTTACGAAAGTGATTTTGGTTTACAAGATGAGATTGTGGCAAAGGAAAATTGAAATGAAAAATGTGATTATACTATGAAAGAAATGTGAAATGGGGAAAATATCATTTAAGGTGTAGATGATGAATGGAATTTAGAAGTTGATTCTTTAAGTACTGCTATTGAGTTTTAAAATTGGTAAACTTAAGAAAACTGATGCATAGCAATACATAAGGTGAAATGATACGTGCTAACCTTTGTACTAAAAGTGATTGAAGTAGAAGTAGGAAAACATGGACTTTACTTTATATGGTTAATGTTTTTGTACATAACCTGACTATTGATGAAGAGTAATTTTTAATAGCATTTTCCATCTTTTGAGTACTATGGTTTTTGTTTCTCAATCACTTGAATAATAGTACTCCAAATGTGAGTAAAAGGTTGTATTTCTAACCACTTGAGTAAGTCACTAGTCATTGTTCGTCGTTTGAATAGAGCTGAGAATAGTTATGTTACGACTGGAGAAATAATAACTATGAAATTTGAAGCAAAACCTAACTAATCAGATATTTGAATTTGAAGTTTGGAAACCATGTAGCCAAAATTAGACTAAATTGCTGACCTATGAATGGGAAGTAGAATCCATTGGTAGAAATCATGTACCTGAATTTATTCATGTCAGTAGTTGGGCATTAGCGTAAAAGGAATAAAAGGAACAAGAAGGCCATAGAGAAGCAATTTCGGAAAATGAAAGGAAAGGTTTTCAGCAACTAATCACTAAGCAGCAAAATTCCAATTGATAAGCTCTTCAACTTTGATGCTATTAAAATGACAGTAAAGAAGAGGTCGAACAAGTTGGCTATTATTTTGATAATGATCATCCAGCATAAATTTCCTAATAATTTCTAATAATTGTATTTTAACATCTCTCTTGTTCATAAATATCCTATACACTCATGTTTTGTGAAATAAAAGCATACACATTGATGAAGATACATAAGGCTTAATACATTTAAGTAATTACAGCAACACAAAAGCTATTATGACTTGTACCTACTGCTAAAAAGACGATCAAAGTAATCTCACATTCGTAAAATGCTCATGCCTTTGAACAAATTAGCACTACATTTATAAAAAAAAATGCAATGCATTTTGGTAAATACAAGAAAACACATTCTACCATAAAATGTATTTGCGCTATAACTATACTCCAAACAAGCTTATAGTTCCAAAATGCTCTTACCTATATAGTTGAAATTCAAAATTCATCTTTGATCAAAACTCGTTCCTATATAATATAAGGACTAGGTGGGAAAGACCCACACAATGCACAAGAATCTAGTGCCTGTGATTTAAGATGATTAGTAGTTGTTTTCTTAATGTAATAGTGTGGAATACTAATTTTGAATAAGAGAAAAAGAACCATAAGAAGATTTAAAAATTATTGCAATTAGTAACAATGTGACGCCCCCACTTCTCCCTAAGGCGAACCAAAGGGTATCCGCGGAACGCCTGCCTAGCTCTCGCCAGGACTCAAGCAATTCCATTCAACTTATAGCCGGACCACACAATACAACCCAATAACTTAGATACAATAAATACGGAAGCGTTCAAGCTTAATAATCATCATCCATTATTCAATCCACACGTCGGTATACAAAATACATTTCGCCCCAAAAGTTACATTTCCATACCCAAAAGTACAATCCAAAACCAAAGGCATAACCAAGAGTAATAGCAAACCCTAAACAAAAGTACATCAGGAGGGTTTCTCCATTTCACCTCCGAGTTCACACCTGTTAAGGAAAACAAATCTACAGGGTGAGCAAAAACGCTCGTGAGGCCAAGAACACACATGCAGACACGTAGTCCAGATAACAACCAAATAACAATTCAAGTAATAGCTTGCAAGTAATTAATAATGCCAACAAAATGTAACCAGAAACAATTCAAGGATATGGAAGCTCTCAGGAGCTAAGTTCCACATTTGCCGATGTCATTTGTATATCTCCCCGTGATGACTCTCCGTCAACCGGGTTGATATTTCCATATCCGTAGATCACCACTTACTTCTCATCTGTCCACCATACACCGCTTCGGGCCCGCACGACATTTATAAGGCGTTACTTTACGAGTATGCCAAGCGAGATCTCTCAATAGATCAAGCTTATCATGTGAATCTCATGGTTCACCGAGGTTCCCGACCAAGCCCATGCCGGCTCGAGTTCCAAGGTCGGCCTATGAGTTTGGGCGTCCCCCATGTATCATGTAAATGTCGAGGAGATTCACTCCATCGACGTATGCAATCATAGCATACCATGGCATATATTCAAGCATTCAACAGGTTTAAGCATGTATTGTAGGTCATGTAAACCAGGCAGAGCATGTTAGACATGAGTCATTTGTGCCAAATGAGAACGAGTGCGATTAAGTACACACTCGACTCCATTTTTCAAAATCAAATAGACTAAGCATGTAATCAGGTAAGTCAAGCATGAATCAAGACTTTAGAGTTCAAGTAGGCATACACTTGACACTCACCAAGTTATGCAAGCAAGTAGGTTGGAGAGAGAGTTCAAACTTCCACGGTAGGGTCCTCTTGGAGGTTCTCGTGTGTGCCTGAACATCGAATATTAGATAATTACTATAGGTCCCCAAGTGGTGAGAAAGATTGGACACGAGTAAGGTTCGGAAATATTTGAAAACTTCGTTTGACCTGTCTTTGAAGTTGGATTCTCAAAAGGGTTCAGGACTCAAGTAAAAATCGGATTATTATCCTTAAAATCATTGGTTGGAATCGAGTACGAGCAAAACAATTGCAAAACGAACGATCGAAATCGAAAGAGGGCAGGCCACGTCACAATCCGGCCGGAACCTGGCCGGATATCCGGCCGGATTTCTGGCCGGATTGGAGGCAGTGGCTAACCTCCCTTTTTTTTTCAAATTTCACCACCAATCCGGCCAAAAACTGGCCGGATTCAAGGCCGGATTCTGGTGGAATAGTTCCCGCGTGGATTTCCTTTGAAATTTCAGAATTTTTGATTTTTGGTCAAATCTTTGAAAAATCATAACTTCTTTTCTACTAGTCGAAACTTGATAAATTTGGTACCGTTGGAATTGTCTTTCAAAGTACTAAAAGTCCTTAGAAGACACTGTTCCATGAATCTAAGTGGAAGGTATTCAAAAATGAGCCTAAAGTTGCTGTTCTAGATTACCAGGATTGAGCCGGGGTTGGTTTTTCGCTAACTTTGGAAATTCGGCAAAAATCACTCGTTGTAAACCGGCCCTTGAAACTTATAACTCAATTAGAAGTGCAAGTAAAGTTTCGGACAGAACAAGCGGCTCAAGAATCGGAGTTTCGAGCACCAAGATATGGTAGCTCAAAGTTGGGAAAAATTCAAGACTGTTACAAAATTTCCAGATTTGGTTCCGACTTTGGACCTTTTATTAAGTGTCGAAACGGACTTGGATTGACACCAAATTTTGCAGTATAATACTCCCATATGAAGGGTATCTCTCTATAAATTTCATGGAAAAATACCCTCGGAAAGGTGGTTAATCAATCAACCAAAGTTTGGAAAAATCCTTAAGGCAATCTGTCCAAATCTAAGGTTTCAAAAACGAGGCAGTCGCCGTATTTTGATCATAACTCCCTCAATTTAAATCGAAATTGGGAATGGTTGATAGTGTTAGAAAATACATTCACAGGGCTAAAATTGCACAGAAGAAATCGTTACAAGTTTCAGCATGCAACTGGTTCGAAATTAAGCCTAAAGTTGCAGCATCATCAAATCATTTCGGCAGAACGGAGAAACAGGACAGCCGACTTCAGATGAATGGTGTGGCTCACACACATGAAACCAGAATGTACATTATACACCGTTGGAAACATGGGAACGTCTAGTTTCAAATGCCGCTAACGGCACTTGATTTCGACGTCGGAGTACGGGGTTATGGACGAAACACGAACACTGGTCTGGTTACGACGGCAACCATTTCCCAGATTACTAGCTTTGGAAAATAAATTCTTTTGATCAACCAAAACTCAATATTTTTCAACGAAATTTTGTACACAACTTCTACAACATGTAAACAACATAATCAAGCCATTAAATCCTCAAATTTCTGCATTAAAGTGACCGAACAGAGCAGGGGTAAAATGGGAACTTTTTGTTTCAAGAGTTCAATAACGTTTCTGGTAACAAAGCACCTTTAATCTACTTCCTTAAGCTCTAATTCAGCAACAAAACCATCATCAAACATCATCACAGCCATCAACCCAAAGTGGGAGTTCATAGAGCCCACGTTTAACAATTTTCCAACATCCACAACAACCCATAAGAGATCAAGAGCTAAAAGATATACTAGACTTCCAAAAATCAAAGTTAGAAGGCTAGATTAAGACTTACTCTTGGTTGATGTTTAAGACAGAGATTCGGTTCTTCCTTGCTCCTAAGTGAGCCGTGCAAATCCTCCCCTTTTTAGCTAGATGTGAACTCCAAGGCTTAGGCTAAGTGGTGCTAAATTTTGAGAAGATTTGGTGGTGATTTGCATGAGTTTTGAAAGAGGAAATGTTGAAGGTTTCGGTTGTTCTTTGTTGCTGTCTAGCCGTCCATGAAGCTTTGCAGAAATGAAATGAGATTGCTGGTTCCTTTGCGTACATAAGACGCTTGACGTCTAATATATTAAATACGTCAAATCAATTACAACTAGTGCCCTACGCGCGCGATTTGTGTTCGATTTCTCTTACGTTTGTTGCACTAGTGCACTAAACCTCTAGGGCACTTACATTCATATAAATATTATTCATTCTTAATTGTCCCAAAATAATGGTCCAAAGTCCCTCAATTAAGCGCGCACGTGAAAACACGTATTTCTAATTTAGGCGCAATAATATTGAAACCTTTGAGAAATTCTTATAACGATCGTACCACTAGCTATTACTTGTGTGTTTAAACCTAAAATTGTCTATTTTAGGACCATTGTATAGGTCTCAAATTTTTGAGCCTATTGTACTCCCAATTGGCTAAAGTGTTTAGACACGTTTTCACTTTTTCGCTAAACAAGCTTATAAGAAAATATTTGTTTATTTATCTATATTTTTATTTTATTTATTTTTAAAATGAGACACTTTAGAAATATAACGAAACTATAAAACCATGTACTTAGGTCTGAAAAGGTTAGAAAATATTATTCGTGGCAAAAATCCAAATAGATAATTAATTGAGGCAAAATTAGGGGTTTTTAAAAATAATAATTTTACGAGTCCTCACGTGAATTGAGTATTAATTCCTCCATTAACCTTTCTTAATCTATTATTGATCGTTCTTAATTCTCCAATATTAATACATTCCCGATTCAAGTATAGCCTAGAAAAACGTGCACCCGTCGTTCCGGACTAAACAAATTTTCGAAAAGCGAATTTTTCAACAAAACGCTTTAAAAATATAAAGAGGCGTCATTCCATATAAATGGATTTAAAATGGTCGAAATAAATAATTCGAAGAAAATGAGTGAATAATCATTTAAATATTCCAGTAATATTCTATAAAAATAAGAAAATTTTCGGGTCCTCACAAACAATATGTTTATTTGTAATAATAAAGCAGAATGTTTTTTTTTTCAAGTAAAGAATTGACTTATTCAATTGATATCTTGAACAAATGGAGTAATTTTTGCTTAAGTAAAACATTCTGCTTATTTAAAATTAATTAATTGTGTTAATTGCAAAACGAAGAAAATGCTTCCCCAACTACAATGGTTCCAAAACATATAGATAAAGTGTAGGATAGTGCTCCCCTAGACCCAGTTGGGTCTCCCCCTTAGATTAGGATAGTGTAAGATACTATAGATAAAGTGACGATTGACAAAAAAAAAAAATCTACAACAGTTCCAAAGCATACAGTAATAATACAATTAGTTACGCAAACAATAACGAACTACAATAAATAACAATTAGTTGTCGTGCAAAATATAATTAATAGTAACAATACAAACCATAGGGAAAATACAATGAGGGAAAAGAAAAATAAAGATAAACTACATAATGTCATAGAAACTGCAGGGAAAATAAAATTGACAATTTCAAAGCAGCAACACAAAATGCAGGCAAGAATTACCAACCCATATGATTCTCTAAAATCATATTACCAACCCATATGATTCTCATAGAAACTGCATGGAAAATATAACAGGCAATTTTAAAATAGCAACATAAAATCTAACATCTAATAAAAAAATAAAGAAATAACATAGGAGTATAGCAGATGAGCAAATATGAAGAAAATAGCCTAAGCAAATATGAGTGTTAAAAAGGTAGTTTTATTCTTATTGGCAGTTATTCTGCATGGACTTCAATCATAGAAAGTAAAAGATAAACTTTTTCAAGATTTAAATTCTAGTAAAATTTTTAAAACTTTCAGTGGAAATATAATTTTTCTTTATGTCTCTTTCTTGTTCAAAGATTTTTTTAGTAGCTTCCAAGATTTTATTAAACACTAACGATTTGTTCATGTTTTGTTTTCCTAAACAAATTAGATTCATAATATTGGTCCTCTTCAAATCCTTGAGTTTGCATTCTGGTTTGGAGTACTTGATTTTGAGTTGAGTTGAAAGGTCGCAATTCAACTCTTGTATGTTATGAGTCATTAGTTAGAATAGTATTTAAGGGGTGCTAACTCTTGTGGTAGAAATAAGAATGCATAGCCTAAGCAAATATATTAAAAAAATGTACAAAACAATAAACTTGGCTACAAACTCAAATTAGTATAAGTAATTATTAACTACAAATTACAAATTCAAGATGATTTATAATGCAACAACCACCAAAATCAATTACACAAATCAATCAACTTGTTAGTAAGGCAAACAATTACAGAAGAAAGCATGTTATGAATGCAGCAATTGCAGTAATTTAATGTGGAAGTAAGGATTGGGTGGATTTGCCAAACAATTCAAATGCAGCACAAACCACGTTATAAATGAAACAATTGTAGTAGTATTTTTACTAACTTTATTCCAAATGCTCACTGCAAAACTTCTCCTCACAATTGCTTCAAACAAATTCCAAGAAACCAGACCATTTAAATTATACACCGTAACCAAAATCATTTGCGGACTTTCTTCATTTAGAGTGGAGACTCTTTTCACTAACAAATCTTACTAATTAAACATTTAATATAGCAGTCATTTGAATCTAATATAAGCAGGATTTTACTTTCTCACAAAAGTAAACCAAATCTAGAATAAAGACAAAGCAAATCACACTATCAAAAAAAAAAAGAGAGAACTCACCTCAAACTGAACCACCAAGCATAGCTGTGCCGGAGAACCATTCTCAAACTTAGGGGACAATAACAAAACACGGCAAAGCACATTGAAGCAACGAAATAACCATTGAACGGAAGGCAAAAAGAACAAAACGGAAGAATTTGAAGTAGAGGACATTTGAAGCAGTGAAGGTGAGATATGCTCAAATACACATTTCTTTCCTAACCACGTTTTCCTCACTTTAATTGAGATAAAAAAAAAAAGGCAGTTGGATGTCCACCTAAGATGACCTTATGTTTCTTGAATATAATAATTGACACTTAACTCATACTACTAATCAATGTCTCCTGAAGGACATTCAAGTAATTCCACTAACATACAAGCTAGTAGAGGTTGTATCCACTGCACAAAAGATAACCAAATAATCTCATATTGTCAAAAAATTCAAACCTTCAACCAAAACACCACTCCATCCAGAAAAATATAAGGTCAATTTCGTAAATACAACAAAACACATGCTACACTAAGTAATACTTAACACTTGGCAGTGTTTGGATACCAAAATTATTCCAAATAATATTTCGTTTGCATCACAAACACATTTCCCAACTTACCTTTTTATATTCTCAATCACCTTTTTATTTCACATACATCATATCACAAAAAGTGTTACAGTAATTATTCCAAATAATATTGCAAATAATACACTATCCAAATAAACCCAGTACTACTATAACTTCACTCCAAATAACCCCAAATTCCCAGAATGTCTCCACCCATACGGCTAAAATCTAAAAACCATATTTACTTTAAACTCGTTCTTATATAGTATAAGGATAAGGATAAGGAATCATGGGTTAGATAACAAACCTTGACTTTTCCTAACAAAGTGAATGCAAGGAATTGGTAAAAGAAAAAATTGACCATATGACAAATTCTTTTGTTTTTCTAGATCGAAGAAGACAAACACTTTTGAAGAATAAACAAGTTAAATATCTAAATTGTTACATTTCAACTTGAATAACTCTAAACCCTCAATGAAACACATGATTACTAATACAAAACCCAAAATTCTTATATACCCAATTTTCTAATTCCCAAACACGAAACAAAAACCTAAAAATATTTCAATGTAAAACAAATAAAATTTCTCAAAATGTAGAATTCCATGAATCAAAAGTTTTTTAAGTTCTTCCATCATTTGAGTCTTTAGAAAAATCCATTCCTTGCGCATTCTACTTTTATCTTGCTAAAGAAAAGAAAAAGAACATATATTTATCTTTTCAACAGAGATAATTTTCTTCTATTTAGAACAAAAAATAATGTGAGAGAGAAAGAGAGAGAGAATAAACTAATAGGAGTAACTTAAATAATAATCCCATATTAAGAATTTATTTCGATGGAAAATTTACCATCCATGTAGATGATTTTACAACTAGTAATGCTAAAAACGCTATATTTCGTTTGAAAAATGTTATTTACACCTCAACCATTTGTTTTATCATATAGTTTAATAAATGAAATCTATATGATTAAAATGACAGTAAGAATGTGATTAACAAAAAATGGGAGTGCAAATACAAATATAAAGATGTGAGAAACATTAAATTTGTAAATAGTTGCATAGATCTTTGCGATATGCACCTAGAAAGATTTCATATGATAATATGCATTCTCCTTGTTTAGAGAATTTTGTTTCTTCATCATCTTTCAAATTTTTCTCTTTGTTCCTCTCTTTACTTAATCTTCTTCACAAACTCAGCAAAGCATTAAGAAGTATCAGATTTATGTAATTTAAGTTGTCTGAACTCTTTTCCTTTTCCTTGAAAAAATTTTGAGTTTTGAAGAGAGGAGAAAGATACTATTTGGGTTTATTTTTTGTCTCCTTGTTTTCATGGTAACAAATGACAAGAACGGAATTCTGTTAACTATAGTTGGGATGAGTGACGCGGCTGTTTCATAACTACCGAGTCCACGAGTCATAGATGGGATCCACCAAGTTTTCTTTTATTCATCATTTATCTACTCTAGTCCTATTTCTACTCTTTTCTACTCTAACCTAATCTAGAGGGAGATTCAATTGGGCCTACAGGGAAGTCGGCGGAGATTGAATCACCATCGAATTAGACAGGTATACTATGCATGAATTTGGGGAAATCACATATTGTAACAAATGATGAGTGACAAAATTTGAACCCTTGATTTCACATCCTACTAAAACTTGAATTCTTTGACGGTGACCAACAGCTCGCAGCCCAAATGGCTGTTGGTTGGATCCACTAAGTTTTGCTCTTTTTTTTCTCCAACTAGTTGTATCATTAGTCTTGACTCCAACTAATAGTACTATTAGTC